AAAGAAAGAAAGAAAGAAAGAAAGAAAGAAAGAAAGAAAGAAAGAAAGAAAGAAAGAAAGAAAGAAAGAAAGAAAGAAAGAAAGAGGGAGGAAGGGAGGGAGGGGAAAAGGAGATGAAGGAAGAACTACAAACCTGGCATTAGAAGCAGCTTCAGAAGATAATCCAGGGTGGAAGGGACCTGGAGGTCATCTAGTACAACCCTGCTCCAGCAGGACATTGTTAAAGTGAGTTTCTGCCTTTGATCCCCCAGTTACATGACAACATAGCCACACCCACCCAGTCATGTGACCCCACCAAGCCACGCCCACCAAGCCTTGCCCACAGAACCGGTAGTAAAAAAAATAGATTTCACCATTGAACAAGGCTCTTAATAAATTCCATATACTTAGTCAAGTATTTGAAACTTTATAAGAAGTCAACAGGGTTGGAGCCATTCTAATCTCTGAAAAAAGAATATTCCATGTGGCAGGAGCTGCAGGACAAAATCTTCTATTATCTGCCAGCTGAAATTTTTTAGCTGTTGGGATCTGTAGCATGCTCAAATTGGGCAGGTAAAAACCATTGGAAAAAGACATTTCCTTTGGTAACCTTATCCCAAGCCATGTAGGGAACTGAAACCTTAAATTGCATTGGGAGGCAGAATCACAGTCAGTGCAAGTCATTGAGTAGTAGTCTCACATGCGCTATCAGGCTAGTGCCGTTAATTACACACGTGGCCACATTTTCTACGAGTTGAAGTTTCTGAATCGTCTTCAAGGGCAGCCCCATGTAGAGCACCTTACAGCAATCTAAGCAGAAGGTTACAAGGGTGTGGGTGGTAGCAAGCAAGGTCTCCCAGTCCAGGAATGGATGCAACTGGTGCACCTCCCTTAGGAGTGCAAAGACTCTATTAGCCACAGCTACGACCTGCTGGTTGTCCATCATGCAGTTGTGTGCATCTTTAAATAGTTAATTAAATTTGATTATTTCTCTTTTCACAGACATGGACAACTGCTTTCACTGTCCACAAGATCATTATCCCAATGAGGAGCAAAATTTATGCATTCTAAAATATGTAACATTTTTGTCTTATGAAGAAACTTTGGGGATCGTCTTCACCAGTTTTATTATTTCCTTTTCTCTCATTACCCTTTTGATGCTCTGGCTCTTCATTAAACACAATGACACCCCTATTGTGAAAGCCAATAATGAGACCCTCACATACATTCTGCTCATCTCCCTCCTGCTTTCGCTTCTCTGTGCTTTGCTATTCATTGGCCAACCTTGTCAGTGGACATGCCTTCTTCGGCAAGTTACTTTTGGCATCATCTTCTCCGTGGCAGTTTCTAGCATTTTGGCAAAGACTATCA